CATAAAAATTCTATTGGAAGAATTTTCATTTCCTACTCAAATCTTCATTCAATTTAGTCCTTCCAGTCCCAGATCGAATCCATAGGAAAGTGTAAGCTCAACAAAAGTCTCTACTGTAATCATCCAGAGCATTTGGCATTCGTTTGCTTGAATCCTTTTGATGTTTGCTTTGGCTGTTGGAAAATATTGTCGAATATTTTCACTGGCGAAGGAAGGCATCACAAATACAAACAAACACAGATACAGACATATGCCATATGGCATATGCCATAGCAAACACACAAGAACTTTTCCACCCACATACGAGTATGTGTATGAGTATTTACATGCAAATTGTTTGCTTTAAAATATGCACAAATATCACAATTTTCCACTTTTTAAAAAATCTCCCAAGAAAAGTTATTCCTCTTTTGCTTTAAATCCGTTGCTAGAGCTACCCTTTGGATGCCGCACAACCCCCCATGAGAGCACCTGCCCCTAGAGACCACCTGCCAAAGAGCAAACCCCAGCAGCAAACTGTAACCGCAATCAAAGGCCATTGATCTGTATAATTTTTTCATGGCCTAATCATTAACAACAATTGCCGCAATTTGCCACATGAAGACACATGTGCAGCGATTATCATCGCGATGATTATCATCGCGCCGACAACAAAAATATGCAAAATTGTTTGATACATTTATGACAAACTCAAAAACCCAACCAGAAAATGCAAACAGGCGGAAATCCAACCAAAATAAAACTAAACTACTGCCTGGAGGAGGGTAATAGAGGGGGGGGTGTAGAAGGGGTGTATTCTATGGAGAGACACAAGTACCAGAGTGCCAGAGGGGGGGTACTGGTTGCCAGGGTTGGTTGCGTTGGTTTTGGGCTCTGTTCGGTTCTGTTCTGTTCTGCTGCCCAGTCGCGCATTTAATTCAATTTGTTAATTTTCAAATCCGCAAAACTATTTGCCAGCGAGGGAGTTGCCTAGGGAGGGGAGGAGCTGGCTGGGGGGTGGCGTCCTCTGTCTGCTTTGTGGTTTTTGGCAGATGAGGGAGTCCGACACGTATGTATGTATCTGTGCGTATCAGAGAGCACTGTAGGGAGTTATGGAGCAAGGTTCTCATATTTCAATAATTGTGATACATTTCATCTGATTCCAGTTTATTTCATTTTTATATAGTCGACTGCCGGCCAACAATAAAATCAATTGAAATGTGTTGGCAAACATGTCAAAATAAATTATAGAGCACATGTCTCTATGTGGTTAAGTGTGGTTCTCTGCGAGTGTGGGTTGTTTGCCCGCCCGTTGGTGACGGTGACGGTGGCGTTGACGGTGTCGGTGTTGTTGGTGGTGGTGGTGGTGCCACTGTATCTGTGTGTTTCTGCGGAGTACGGGGTGTTATGCAAGTGTGGCAACCACAAAAACCGAATTTTAATTTACACGCTTGCAGCATTTGTTAGTCGATAAAACTGGTCCCAGGGACCTCTCGCCGAACGGAACCCCTCGGGATCTAAGCGGCTTACAAAAAGGTTCTTTTCACTCGCTGGCGGCAGGAAATCAGACGAACCCACCCACCCCACCCCACTCGCAACCCAACCCAGCCCAACCCAGCCCTCTGGTTCTCAAAAGGCCAAAAGGGATTGCACAACTCAAACGCCCATTTACAGGGTATAATTAAGTTAAGTCTTGGTTGAACAGGAAAGAAAAGAACAAAAGTCGAGAGTCGAGAGAGTTGACGGCACGGCACGGCACTCGTGTGCCACGGAAGAGGTGTGGGAGGTGGGTGGAACAGGGCGGGGGCACTGCTTCAGAGGTCATACTACACTTGAGAGTCCCTCCATCCTGTTAATCCTTCAACAACCAGCTTTTACTTTCAAGTTTTCATCGAAAGTCCTAAGAAATCTCTCTGATTTTGTTTTGGTTTCATCATATCCTTAGAGACCCATCAATCCCGTATCATAAATCAAGCAAATGTTATGCGATTTCATGGACTTCTTCCATACATCATAACTCAACCAATTCTATTGGCATCAGCGTTTTGGAGCTCACAATTCAATCTAAATCAATTTACTATTTGTTTTTTTAAACATATCTTCTTGATACCTCCCAAGACTGTGTCTACTCTCGAGCCTGGGAAATGATTTAACATACGTTTTCAGGCCAATCCACGCCCACACGACTGCTTCGTGTACTCCCTTTCCCAGGCCACGGGATGGCGATGGCCCCTGCCCCCAACGGTTGCAGTTTCGACACCTTGCGGCCAAAAGCTGAGGTTAGGATGGGCTCGATTCCACTCGGACTTCAGCTTGGACTTTGGGTTTTGGGCTTGGGGATCATAAATCAAGACGACGAAAGATCATTAAAAGAGAATCTCTGCTATCATAATAAAGAAATCACACGAGAAAACAAACCGAGAACGAGACAGAGTCTCAATAAAAGAGAGATAGAGAGAGAGAGAGAAGCGACAGCGACAGCGAGGGAAGCGAGACTCGTCTTCATCTCTTGTGATTTGATCGCTCAATCAAAATGATAAATGAAAATTAATATTTCTTAATACTGTTTACAAAAGTGAGAATTGTGCACACACGAAATTTTGGAATGTTTTTCTCATTGAGCTTTTTGTTGTTTGTTCCTTTGGCTTTTTTTCGGGTGGGGAAAGGCAGGGGGAGGGAGTGATATCCATCTATGGGAAAGGCGCTGCGGTCGATTTTTCATTGCTTTTTGGTCATTGTTTGATAAGAATTATTGCAACATATCAATCACAAGGTTAAGTGGATCTCTCCCTCTCTCTCACTCCTTAGGTCCATGAAATGTGAGGGAACATGCATCAAGCAGCACGCAACAAAACAACCGACAAATCCACAAAATGAAAACATTAAACGAGAACAACGGAAAACGGTCAGAAAATAAAAGGTATACCCGTGTTTGTATACCCAACTAAAACAACAGCCAGAAAGAGCAGAAAGTTGTGGCAACCGACATTCATCAACATCAAAAACAAACAGCAAAAGGCGCGAGGCGCGAGGCACCAGGCACCAGGCACCACCACAAACATTGACTGGCAAGAGCCCCATCCCCATGCCCATGCCCATGCCCATACCCATCCGCATACCCATACCCATCGCCATCGCCATCGCCATCCCCATCTCCATAGAGAGATATTCCCTTGCCCAGTCCGGGGGCCCATTTATATAGAGACGTCTCGAGGTGCTCGCCGCTTTTTGGCGGTTGTCGCGGTTTCTCTGAGCTCTGAATTATTATCCCGCACTTTAGTCGATTAATTGACTTTATAGCCGCAGTCCGAGAAGCGGATGGAGATGGCTATATTATAGAGCCAGTAAGCCAATGGGGTTCCAATTAGAGAGGGGTTTCGTGTGGTTGCCAGAGCAGCTGGGAAAGTCTTTCCCAAGCCGAGAGATGAATTGCTGGATGGGATGGAACAAAATAGCCGATATCACAAATATGGAGAGACCTTCGCGTTCACGTTCATCCCATGATGGATATTTGATGGATATTCTGGATTTTTCTGAAACAGCTTGAAGCCCTTGTAAACAGTTCCAGTGATACACTCATTGATTCGCATTAAATCGTGTGACTAACCCCATAATACAGCCATTATTTCCGTTATCAGCTCGCATCTGAATGGCAATGCCCAAAAACTGATGCCACTCTCGACCTAATCCAATTGAGAAGGGAACCGCTGCCACTGCCGCTACCGCTACCGTTGTCCTCCACTCAACCGAGAGAAAGGCTGACTTTAAGCAAATTAGCAATTCAACAAAAGTGTCGCCTCTATCTCCGCCTCCTCCTGCCTCTGTCCTGCCATCCTCTCACGCTTCAACGCAACGCCGTTCGCCTAATCGTGGCACGTGCTTCGACATATATAATCACAGGGCGGCGATGTCTGCCACTGGAAAAAAGGGTCGACTCCGGGTCGGGGATCGGGATGGGGATGGGGGATGGGGATGAAGATGCGGATACGATGGGAGTTGAGAGTTGAGAGCAGATACTACTCGACTCGAGCAAGTTGTACAACACATAAAGATAATCCAATCTTATGCTGCTAATTTTACACAGCAGCAGTTGGAAGAGCAGCCCGATCCGGATCCGAATCCGAATCCGAGTCCGCAGCCGAAAATTTCAGCTACGAAATAAAATCAAATCTCGTGTGAGGACGAGCGTGTGCAAATGTGGTTAGGGCCCAAGCATTCGACAGGGAAGGGCCAAGGGAGGCTGAACTCAAAACCCTGAGAGTAGCTGCTGGAAACCGCTGCAAGCTTTGCAAAAAACTTTGGCCGAAAGAAACCCTCAGACAAATAAATTCGATTATGCCCCGACCCGCCCACAGAAGGGGCCCCCCCGCTGAGGCGCCACTCCTGGGCGGGGGCGTGGCGTGGCGTGGCACTTTTTTCCCTGCTACTGCCGCTGATTTGTTTGTTTGGCCAAAGTTTCGAGCCAGCGAGATGCCTAATTCGTTTATCAAATCCACTTTACATAGTTGAGCGAGTCCCAGTTCCAGTCCCAGGCCCAGGCCCAGGCCCAGGCCGAGGCCCAGGCATAAAATATGAAAATTCAATAAGCAGCGCAGTCCTTGAGCAGCCTCCTCCGTGCCACTTGCCACTTGCCGCTTAATTGTGCGTCGCGTCGCCTCGCACCTGTACTGTGCTGTGTACACAGCGAGGCACGTGCAGCAGCACAGAGTGATGATGTGAGACAGCGGGAGGCATACGCACGCACGAACTGCATTCGCAAGTGGGCGTGCATAATTTATGCTGATTCTCCTGAGAAACCCAACCAAAAAACCTAGATAAATGGCAAGGGAAATGCCTAAACTTTAAAGAAAATAAAAGTGCAAGAGGTTAGAATGCATAGCTATTTGAAAAACCATCAAATCAGACCTTAAATAGGCTATATTTTCATTTGAGTGCGATGGAACAATGAGAAGGATCCACCCCTCCCATAAAACATATTTGTTTTGATTTTCCTTAGTGTACAAAAATTCCTACAGATATTCTTTAAGCATTTATGAGATTAATTATGATTTAATGTACTTTGTAATGGTGTGAAAACTTATTTAGTATAGATCGTTATGCAAATGCTTTGGAATTCCATTAGGGCCAAAAAATAGAGGATGCACTTCCAAGGCTCCAAAAATCTAAAAAACAAATACGAATGCATTTCTTTAGATAAAATAATGCTCAGATTAAAAAACAAAATTACCTTCCTGGATTCTTCGGAGGGAAATAAAGCTACTATTTCGTCAAGTAAAGTGCATAATGTTTGCATTTTGATGGCATTCCTATTGTTATCAACTTCACCTACAAGAAGTTTGACCAAAAACTGTCTCTGTTCTTTGCTTAGGCAATTTTTTGCTTTGAAAGACTGAAGCACAGTCAGGCCCTCAGGAGATCTATTTATAAGTTGTTCCAAATTCTAAGCAAAGCAAAATTGTTAGTATAACACAAATGTTATCAAAAAATGTAATTACTTTGTGCTGTACTCTAAGATCTATGTATCCTTTAATGTTTCCAAACTGTAATCAAAAGAGTGGGAAAACGTAATGCAATGTAGTTGAGGTCTCGAATGGATTGTGTATAGATCTTTATATCTACCTACATTTATTTACCTCTGTCCGTTTCATCATTAAAAGTTTTTCACGAAATTCGGCGCGTGGGCCTACCAAACGTATGGCATCTTTGACATCCTCACTGTTTAAAAATTTCAATCGATCGTATGTGACTTCTGCAGCTGGAAATTTCATATATTTGGGTACAATATTTTTTTTAATTATGCTCCTTTAAACTAATTTAGATTCGAATACACACTCCGAGACACTCGAACAGGACACATACATTTTATTTTAAACTGATTATTCTTCAAATACATGTACACTCCAAACCACTTGAATAGAACACATTAAAAATATTCATAAAACCACAAATATTTACAGCACAATCTAAGGAAATCGTTGAATGTGGATTTTTTTTTTTAGCATACAATTAGTAAAATTAATAGCAATTAAATTAAATGCATAAAATATTCTGTCTCAGGTTTTACTACTGTAGTACTAACTATATCTAATAACGTTACACAGATGACAGTTTCAAAAGCAAACCCAAACAAAATAGCCTCGATTGAACGCGATTTTTTAGGAGTTAACGAATCGGGTCACTTGTATCTGTGAAAATAAAAGGTCGGGCGATGACAACGACCCATGTTATGTAATAGAGAGACATTATACATATATGGTTTGTGGAAAGTATTTTTCAAAGGTTGAAATATCAATTCTTATTGAATTAAGTAGGTCCATCAATAATGAGAATAGGTAAGAAAATTAGTAAAACCGGATGGGTCTTGAGCAGCGGCTCTACTTCTATACCCAGTACTCAGTCAGTACCTAATGACCTCATTGATCAGAAATATTGAATATTTTATTTCTATTTTTTACGTCTACCTCTTTTTCTCTATTCTAACACAAACACCATCCGTTAGAACTGTAGCGAGAGCTACCCTTCCTTAGGAAGAGGGGCACTGCACGATTAAGAGTGAGATAGGGAGAATGAGAAAGCGCGTAGAAGGGGGTTGCGTAGCCACTGAAATTGTATTTGGTCCTTCTGGCTACAGTAATGATCAGCAGCCTGCTAGTTATGGTTAATTGTAGTCTGTGCTAAAGGCGCTCATCGTGACTGGCAGTCGGATAGACAGTCATGGCTATATCGACTTGGCTATTGATGCTGATCAATAATATATAAAATTTATGTGGTCGGAAACACTTTGCACCATCTACATTTACGTATGTCTTAATAAGCTATAGCTCGACTTTTAAAAGCACAGCAGCACATGTGCTGTACACTTAATGATTAGAAAACACATGCATTCAACATACATACATATGTACATACAACATATGCATATGCACATGGATACATGTATGTATGTAGCCTACGTCTTATCGCTTACCTTTCAAGTCGTCAAACACAGATTCCATTTTAATTTTCCTTAAGAACTCCCAAAGAGTTTCGTACTCTTCTTCCCGTTTCTCCATTGGATTGGAATTTGCTGAGAATTATAGTTTACAATTTGAACACAACTAGAACACAAAGTCGATCCAAAACGCGCCGCGCCGCCGGAGAATAAACTTGTTTGCAAAATTTACGCATGCGCACAGCTGATTTCTTATCGATACTATCGAAGGCGCTCTTAGCGCCACTCAAGAATTTGAAAATCTGCTTAAATTTGAATTGAATTTTAGGAAACACGAAACGAGCTACTGCTACGAGAAAACCGTGCAAAGAAAACTATTCGAGATTTTTGGAAAAACTAAAATGTGCAGATTACTGTTACTTACTGTTACACTTATATTTACAATAAAAGAAAGAAAAACACCTTTCCAGCAAATGTCCCTGGTGATGACCCTCTTCAACCCTTTCAACAAATGACACTCTCTAATTAGTTTCCACACATTAGTTTCCACGCTTCATGCTCTGTCAATTGTCCGGGCAACATCATTATCATCAGCCCTACAATATAGAAGAGTTTGATATTTAAAGCTAATTGCAGTTAGGTGCTCTCCTTGGCAATTAAAAGATCATTTCTGAAGAGTGCGGGCTGGGCCTTTCACTTCATTAAATGTCAATTCGTTGACCTTCATTGACGCGCCTAATAACTTCATTAGGTGATGTTATTCGTAATTTGATCGAAAAACCCACAAGATAGGGTGACAAAATGCCCCTTTTTTAGCTATGTTTTAATTGTCTTAGAGTGAAATGTTTGAAATTCGTTTGATTCCAGCCCGCATGACAGCAAAGAGACCCAAACATTTCTCAGCTTCAGAAGTTCTTGATGATTTTTTATGAATATTTCCTGACGCAGCAGCACAACAGCACCCCCCAGAACAATTTCCTCCACTTCCTTGGCTCGGCTTTTTGTCATTATTCACACTGCAGTGATTCCCTAGAAGCAGCAGCAGCAGCAGCAGCAGCAGGAGCGACACTTTTTAAAAAGCAAAAGAAAACGAAGATGGAAACCCAAAGGACATCCAGAGGATGGAAAAAACTTTGATGCTTTGTAGAAAATTCATAAAACTTCCGGTTGGCAGAGTGGGATACCAAAACGGAGGGGTGTGCACGGGGGAGGGCGAGGCAGGGTAGGCCTGGCTGGGGTCCGCAAACAAGAAAATGGCGCATTTTAAAGCCTCGAAAGACAGAAGGAAAAACAAAGTACAAGGACATTTTCCATGTCAAGAAATGTTTCAAAGTTGAAGCTGCTCTGCCATTTTGCCGCCATTTTCTCTGTGTCTCTTTCGCTCTGGCTCCCTTACCTTCTTAGGGGTTGTGTGTGCTTATTCCACCCCCGCTTGGAGCTACTTTTTTTCTCCACGTCGGAGGGTTGAAAGCAAAAATAAACAAAAATCAAAGTTGCAAATAAGAAGAAACTACAAAGTAAGTTAGCATAAAAAAAGTTTAGCGGCGCCTTGTTTTTCGGAAGTTTCAACATCTCGAGGGGCGGTTGGAAGAGAGGAGCAACAGGGACGGAGGCTGGGGTGGGGTCTGGGCTGGGCGCTGCCTGGCATACTTAGCCACCACCCCCTGAGCGAACACCCACACGCAGACACACACACACACACACACACACGCGCGCACACAGATGCGGACGGACAAAAGATTCTGTCGAGCACTTTTCGTGCAACAAAAGCCGGAAACAGTCGGCAAAAAAGAAGTTGAAGAAAAACTCAGTCAACATCCTCTCAAGTGCTTCCTTCGCTGCCTCCTGCCACTCGAGGCATGTGGCATGGCCTCCCCCCCAAATCCCAGCTACTTCTCAGCATGCAGCCAGCGATGTGGCCGCTCAGCGAAGCGCAAGGACAACGACGACAGAGACGAGGACGAGGACGTGGACGAGGACGAGGACGACAGCGATGCTCCCTCACCTTGCTCATGCTGATCACGTCTATTTATTGTGCACATAATATGGCAGCAGCTCCATCTCTGGCCAAGCTCTAGGACCTGCTCCTCCTCCATCTGAAGCTACCATTCGACGCTACCCATTCGACTGCTCCTCGGGGCTACGTGCGACGCATGCATCGCTGGACACGCTGCCTGCTGGGGGTTCAACCTCCCTCTCCCACTCCCACTCCCACTCCCTCTCTCTCTCTCTCTCTTTTAGATATTTTTTTCCTATTCCTATTCTCCTCCACGGAAAATTCAATTATCGAATGCGAATTTTTCTCTCTTCCACTCGCTTTTCTTTCTGTGTTCTTTCTGCTGTTCCTTTTGTACTTTTCGTTTCCGCTTCGCATGATTTTTTGTTTCAGCCAAAAGCAGCATCCCAAGACGAACTTTCAGCGTATCAGCATTTATTTGCTGTTGATTTATGCAGCGAACACGGTCTCCCCAGCCCTAGGACGACTACAACACCACACCCCACCCCACCCCACCCCATAAGGCCTCCTGGCAGGGCTGCCAGGCCCTAACCACCCACTGCTCATTCAGTCAAACAATCGCTGCCTGTCGACATCGACATCGACATCGACATCCACATCGTTGTTGAATATTTGCCAAGTATGCTGATTGAATTTTTTCCAGTTGACTAAATGATATCAAGGATATTTGCCAGACCAGCGCAACGACAGCTCCTGACAGAAAGACAGACAGACAGACAGACAGACAGTCAATCCAGCGAGGCGAGGCAAGTGTCTTTAAGCCTAAGCGGTGAAATTTTGGATATACTTTACCTTTCGAACATCACTGATTAGATATAGCCAAAGGGCAGCAAGGGAGTTGATTAAATATTGCATAATTTTTGCTGAAAACAAATAGCTATTGGGAATAGGTTTATACCCTTTCCAGAATACGGATAGTAAATATATCTCCTCTCGAGGAGAGGCCCTCATATTTATTCTCATATTACTCGTAGCCAGTGCCTGAGAAGACTATAAATTAAATAACAATTTATTAGACAAAACCCCGCCCACTTTTGCCATGGAGATGCTTCCTTAATCCATGGCTAATGTTTGCTGTAGAGACACCCACAAGTACGAGCCCTTCATCAGCATCCTATACGAGTACCATCCTCCATTCAGCATTTGTAAACCATTTAAGCATCGCCGGCATATTGTCAATTTCCAATATTTAGACAGGCGACGGCGACTAGTAATAATCATGTTTGATAAGCGTAAAGCGAGCATGCATTTTGCAAATAGACGAATCCATTGGATCGGACGGGCCCTCTGCCCACGCCCACATCGCATTCGGGGCGTAATTAACACTTGTGTGTGGGCTAAACACTGTTGCAACTGCCACACGATTTCCAGCAGCAGCCAGCAGCAGGCAGCAGCAGCCAGTAGCCAACAGCCAGTAGCTCTGATGCTCCGATCTATTTGAATCCTTTGCAATCCCTGCAATAATTAATATGCCCAACGTGCGGCAGGACCTCAACGAACCACGGAGCCGGGGGTTAGAGTTGGTGTGGCATAAAAGGCGTTAAATTGACACAATTGAACACCCCCTTGAGACTTGAGTGTGTGTGCGTGTCTGCCGAGGGGTGGGTGGGGTGCCGTTTTGGGGGGTGCATGTTTAATCGGAAATGCTAACATCTTCATCATCAGCGCGCGGGGCCAAAAACTGACATGGCAAGAGTGCCACAAAAATGCGCGACAAAAGTCATCGATGGATGGATGCGAATGTATCCATTCGAGGCATGCAGATGACAATACAAGCCCCCAATCCTTCAATCGTTCAATCCTCTCCGTTGTGTTTGGCCTATGCAAATATGTGCGACAATTGATATTTTGGGTAAACATGCGAATCCGAAAACGTGACATCGCTCCATCGGTGGGGCCAAATGTGCGGCATCGAAAATGGATGCATTGAGAGGTGTGAAATGTTTAGCGAAATTATGTAAATGATAGGATGGGCAAGTGTGTTTCTGTAGAACAGTGCGGGAAATGGTGTAGTTTTGGGGGGGGGATATATGTATCATGGTTATCATGATTATCTGTTGGACTAAATGTAGATCCCATTTATTGCTTTGCCTTCCATGTAATTGCTTTATGTTACACATGTCGAGTGTCTACACTCTCTCGCCTACTCCCCGACCCACCGCAACAATAACTGCTTTCATATCATGGATCTCTGGTTACCTCTGGTTATCTCGAAACAGCCTCCAAGCCAGACTGTCAAAACAGGCAAACAAATTGTGCAAATAAGTCGAGGAAATGTTATTTATGTTCATAAGATTTTCTGTGATTAAATAACTAAAGCTCTCTGCGGTCGTGCCCCACCACTCGATGGCTGGAATGACAAGAGGCTGCAGCTCCAAATGTGTCAGCATCGGTTGCATATTAATGGCCCGGAGGTGTGCATGCCAATTGTCATGCGCTGAAATGCTTGTTAACAAACGGCGATTGCTTTTGGGAGCTCCACTCTCCACTCTCCCACCCTTTGCTATCCCCAGCCTCCAGATCCAACTCTCGAATCTCAGATCTCCCACTCCTTGGGTTTCTTTCTTGTTTTTTTTTGTTATTTTTTAATCAAAAGCAGTCGACGTTCCATGTTTCATGCTGCAGTTTGCGCGCTCCTCCCCCGTGGCAATAACGCCACACATTTGTAATGTTGCTTCTGTTTTTTGCTGAAAGAGAAGCCACCAGAGGCAGATGACTCCAGAGGGGGGAAGTAGCATCTTGCAGTTGTTCCAGCTCTTAGATGCATTTTACAAGTTACTTTAAGGCAATCAATTTGTAGTCGAAGTCAGAGTCAGAGTCAGAATCGGAGCCCGAGTCTTCGGGAGGCACACGGCAACGGCAACGGCAATCGGGAGGGAATGGGTTGGAAAAACCAATCAAAAGAGCGTTGCGAACGCAAATTGAACGGCAAATGGTTGCAAGATGATATTTCAATACACTCAGCTCAACTCACCTGCAACCTGCAACTGTGCCCCTGCCCCTGCCCCTACCGCTGGCCCACCTTCTGGATCCACTGGGGCCATAAATTATCGCCGGGCGACGCCTGCGCGTAGTTTTCTTACTTTTTTGCAGTTATGATTATCGCGCCAGGCTCGGTTCTGGGACTCCGAAGCTGGAAGAGTTGAACTCTTCCCTCGGTTTCGTTTCATTTCGTTTCGTTCTGTTCCGTTCTGTGTGTGCAAACAAATGTAAAAAATTTTTAATTGACTTTTGGATTTTTAGTTGTTGCTGTTGCGCCACCGCCACCGCCAGTTGCACTTTTATGGCCCCTCGCGTGCATGGCAGCTTAAAAGTTAATAAAACACGCCCAATGATAACAAGCCCGCAAACAGCAACAACAACCAACGCATATTTTGCCCCTGAGGTCTTCATCATCCACCAGGCCAACAATCCAGCCAGCCAACATTGTGAGCCCTCTCTCTCTCTGATCTTAAACCAAGTTGGAGTCCACATCCACATCCTCACCAGCAACAGCAACAGCCACAGTAAAAGCATTGGCATCGGCATCGGCATCGGCATCGGTTTCCATTTGGCAGGCAGCCTCCGCTCGAAGCTCGTAGAAAAACAATCAATTAAGGCCCACAAGTAGCTGGCCATCCAGCGGGAGCGCCATCGTGAAAGCGCCTGGTGGTGGTGGTGCTGCTGCTGCAGAGGATAAGGATGAGGGCCATGATGATGATGAGGATGAGGATGGTTGCCCAGTGGCAACGACACGACTTTGATTCCCTTCGCTTGCCGACTCTTGCCGAAGACTCTGCCCCAGCTCCATGACGGGAGTTTTATGAGCTGCTTTGGCAAAATTTATGTTACATTTTTATAGTTCAGTGTAAATTGACTTTTAAAATGCAAAAATTTATCATAGCAACGGACAGTGGCTGGCTGACTGGCTGGCTGGACTGGTCGCAAAAGGGGGAGGGAGAAGCGGCAAAGTTTAATTGCTTTCTTAGTGCCGCGGTGTGGCAACTCTGGCGGAAGCTTTGGCGACGGCAAAAGCTCTTCAAATCGCGCGATAAAAATCAACCCCAAAAAATGCTCAACAACAAGGTTGGAACATAGAATAGAATCCACGCCGAAGCTTGTGCACCCTTATGGCTTCGATAAGGGTAGGGTCCACGCACAAAAGCTCAAACTTCCTAGAAAAGTACATGAACCCGAAACCACCGTTAGAGAACCTTGGCACCCAGCGTCGGTCGTGTTTTTTCTAGTGCAATTTGACCCCACAAGCACGGCACTTGGAGGAAAGCTTTTGGTTGCGTGGGTGCTTACTGGCCCAATTTAACCTTCCCTTCCGCGAACGCGAGACACAATCCAGACCTCAATTGCATGACGAAACATCCGCGGAGCAGTTGCGACGCATTTTGTGCAAAAGAAAAATCCATAAATTGATTGAGAAACGTTAAGGAAAATCCAGGAAAATGCTGCTCTCCACTGGAAAATTGCAATGCTGTTGCCGTCGCTTCTGGGACTTCCTGATGGCACCACTAACACCAAAGAATCTAAGGACAACGGCCATGCTCACCAGCATATTTCAATTGGTGAGTGAAGGAACCGGGAAGTGAGGGCTAACTAGGATATGGATATGGGACAGAATAAGGAGCTGATATATCACTCCTTTATATAACAAATGTATTAATCAGGCGGGGCGCAGCGCACAGGTCCGTACCATTCGGACCATACGAGGTGCAGCTGTCAAGCCCCACATTCAAAAATTGAGCCTCGGATATGCAAAGCCATACCCCACTGGGCACATAGGGATCCCATCGAAGGGTGAGCAGATTGGAAACTCGACCCCCGCTCCCCGAAGGATGCTAGATGGTCCCAAGGCGCAGTGCGACTCGGCGCGCTTTCGTTGCGAACACCTGACTCGGATACCCTTTTTGATGCAAGAGGCAATTTAGCGGGAGGTCGATGAAAGCGCGGCTAAAACCAGTTGGGAATTCTAAAGCGCACATAAAGCACAACGAGATCGCTTTTTAAGCTTTTCTAATATTTCACCCTCTCCCTGTCTCTCTCTCTCTCTCTTACTTAGCTGGTTGCCCATTGTATTTTGTTCTTCATGCTACTCTGCCTGGCCCATGCGGAGCAGATCCATCGGTTGCTTGAATTGGACATACTGGATCAGAAGGATAGTGGCTTCTACACTATGGCACCCTTTCACAACGATCTGAGACTCCGGTCGGCGGCCCAGCTGTCCGATGCCATGGAGAATTTCCTGTACGTGATGGTTGGTGTCTCTTCAGCCTATGCTCTGTGCGCCATCTCCCTGTTCTTTGGAGTCTACAAGAGCCGACCGGGCTTGATCATACCTTGGCTGGTCGCAGAGTTCCTGTGCATCGTGGGCATCGGTGTGCTAATCTTCATGCTGAGGGATACGAAGCTTACAATGATCTTTTGCGGAAATGTGCCCTACTGTGAGTTATTGTAGGCCTCATCCATGAATGACACTGACACTGACACCGATCCTTTGATATCTCTTATGTAGTTATCATCTGCTATACTTTGCTCAGCATGGACTGCATCAAGTGGTATTCGATGCACAGCTTCTATCAGAGTTTGCGCACCATGAACAAGCTGAGGGAGATTGCCACAGTGGCCATTCCCTGTCCAGCTCCAGGAGCCGTAAGTCCGCACATTCACCTAATATTGCAGCTGGAAATAATGCACATTGTTTTGCTTGACAGATTCCCTATCACTTCCGTCGCGAGCACATGTATTTGGGCAGCAATGGCTATAAGCATATACTCACCGAATCACCAGATGGACAGTGCTAGATCCAAGTATCAATCGAAACTCCTGGCTAATGGATCCAACTAAACGAGCGTTAAACAAGTTCTCAAACTTCCCTATCAGGTGTCTGGGAAGTTGTATTACAAATTCTGGTTTTTCTTTTTGTTTTTTTCTTTCAAAATGTGTGTGATATGGAAACAGCAGAGTACTATTTTAGATAGCCAATGGATCGAGAGGCCTATTAATACATACATATACCATAGCCCCTTGACGGTGCATAAGGGGTGTGTGGATCCCACGATCAACTATCGATCAGCCATATCTTTTGTTGGCAACTTCATAAACTATTTTTATGCAGTAGTGCTTGGCGAATTAGACGCCCATAAATCTAATCCGTGTAGTTTGTGAATCGTCGTTACTTAAACTTCAGCACTTAATTAAAGTTCTAAAATAGAGGAAACCCTCACAAAAACCTTCTACTATTTGGCCTAGAGCGTGGTACTACCTACCAACCTACCAACCCACCAAAAAAAAAAAATGTTTGTATATATGTATATGTATATCTTATCCCCTATGACCACGACCATGCTTGGCGCTTGCCGGTGGCGGGGTTGTGCTTGATGTGGCTGTAGAATGGGTGGTAGTGGAGCTCGAGGCGCTCAATATAGTCATATCATTGCCGAGACTGTCCATGAGCATGTCCACCACGGTGATATTTGTGCCGCCATCGGAGTCTCCCTTGTCCGTGGGAATACTTATCTGGAACTGCAGCAGCACCACCAGATAGGTAACCATTGTGGTGAGCAAGCCCTTGAACAAACTCCTGTTTACATCGAAGAAACCACCGCAGTTGATGGTCGAGGGATTCATTTCGGTGGCACGGAGAAACATATTGATCTCCGTCTGGGCATCCGAGTTCATCCAATTGAGCTCCACCATGAGAAGTTTCTTTTGGAAATTGGTGCGCACATTAACCGAGGCATAATGAGCCTCGTCGCAGATGTAGAAGAGCAGACCAATGTTCCAGAGAGCCGTGATTGTGAGTCCTATATCCTTGATGCCGAATCCCTCCGAGAGCTGCGACATCAGGCCGTAAATAGACAGCGTGATGATGAAAAACAAGTACAGGCTCATAAAGACAAACGTATAGCACATGGCATTGCCCGTATCCCGGGTGAGTTTGCTCAGTCGCAGCCAGAGCACTCGGTAATCGGCCACCATCGCGGCAGGACCAATGTGTTTGAGGGCCTTCTGGAACCGCTCCGCCAGAAGGTGAGCCGTGGTGCTCATGGCCTCGCAAATTAGGAACCACCAAGCGCCCAGCATGGCCGTCAGGTTGTCCAGAATGCAGTAGGGCACCACCTGATTGATGTTTAAGTCCGACATGGTTATGTGGGTAATCACCACCGACAGCACCGAGAGAATGGGCAACACAATGGCAATGTACAGGGCTTTTTGGCGCAGACGGAGCGGCAGACTGTGCCCAGAGATCTGATAGTACAGCACTTCGAAGTCATCCCAGTCGTTGAATAACTTGGCAATCTTCCTGGCCTCCCACCACAGTATCGGTATAACCATAATCGGCAAAATGTTGACAAGAAACAGATAGGCAATCACCGCCTCCTCGAAAGGGCCGCTTAGCGAGCGTACGATGTGGATGCGATTGTTGGCCACATAACCGACATAGCACTGCAGGACGAACAGCTTTGTGAATTGAATCTTGGAACAATTTAAGGACTCACCGCCAGCAGCATGAAGAAAACCACAGAGTAGACAAACGAGGCCGAGCTCATTTCGAACTTGGCTCGGGCCGGACCACGTCGGACGATGGGTAGAACACCAATGATACGCAGAAACCAATTCACAGGAGCAATGTTCCTGTAGAAAACGCTCTAGAAAAACGATCATCGCATTAATCAACACACCAAAGTTGAAAGACTCCACTCACTGGCGTAAATTCTGGATTGTTGGAGCCAGTGCTATCCGAGCTCTTTTTCCTGTCACTTGGAGGCGGCTGGTAGTCAGCGTCCAAGCGCTCGGCCAGCCCAATGGAGTACTTCCGCACTCCGTATAGATAGGCCTGGGCATTGCCACTGTTGATCGGCTTGGCATTGTGGAACACCGCATCCTTTTTACGTCTGTAATAGTTGGCCATCTTAGAGAAACTGTGAGGAAATTTCATGTCCATGGCCTTTTAGAACTAGACATTGGCATTAGGAATTTATTGGGCACGCCCCTTATTGACCACGCCCTATTTACATTGCCGATAGAGTTTTAGTTTCCTGTTGATTTGCATTGTTTGTCTTTTGAATGCATTAACCTTAGCCTGATGTCCCAATTTCGAATTTGTGTCAATGGCGCGCCTCTGCCCCAGACACTTTCAAACACTGATAGGCAATTTAAACTATCGATATGTGAGTTAACTCAATAGCTCAGAATTCGTGTTAATAAACAATAGACTTTGAGAGCTGATACGTTCATGTATTTCCAACAAAGTTTCATAAATATATAAATAATATCTATATATTATTTTTTAGGATTATACGCGAATTTATTCTTTGTTGTTACCGTTGTTGTTAGTAGCGATAGTTCACACGATAGGCAGAACAGCCCTATAACTGAAATATACAACCATATCGCAACTTTTCTCCAGCACTAGGTCAGCACTAACTGAGTTTTGCCAAAAACTCAATAACTCAATAGCTCAAGCCCAGTGTAAATACGGTATAGTATAAATCTTAAAGCACTTGACAGCACTAACGATAGCGATAGGACTCACAATCGATAAGTACGATTTTTCCAGAAGTTCCACAAAAAAATTTTTTTTTTTCCAGGTCAAAATAAAAAGCATTTACGAACTTTTACGTGAAGAAAGATATCAAAATGGTTGACTACAGCAAATGGAAGAACATTGAGGTGAGTGCAAACGATAATTGCAAATGGGAGCATGTTGACGAGCCGGCGCCTGCCGCGTGCACTTTGCAGATTTCGGATGATGAGGACGACACGCACCCGAACATTGATACCCCTTCCCTGTTCCGCTGGCGGCACCAGGCTCGTGTAGAGCGCATGGAGGAAATGGACAAGGAAAAGGAGGCGATGAAGAAGAAACGACAGAGCATCCAGGCTCGCCTCCTGGGTGTCAAAGAGCGCATCAGCAAAAAAGATGGCGATGAAGCCGCTCTCAAGGTGAGTCACTTCCTGAAGCTATAAAACTCAGTAATCCATGAGCTGTTCTGTGCAGAAAGAGCTGGAAAAGATCGAGAACGAGGGCAAGGAACTGGATCGCGTGGAAAACGACATGCTGAAGAAGGAGAAGAAAACGCCATGGAATGTAGACACAATCAGCAAGCCGGGTTTCGAGAAGACCGTGATCAATAAGAAGGCTGGTCGCAAGCCAGACGAGAACCTATCCGAGGAGCAGCGCGAGCAGCGCATGAAGCAGTTCGTCAAGGAGAACGAGAAGCTGTGCAAACAATACGGAATGCTGCGCAAATACGACGACTCCAAGCGCTTCCTTCAAGAGCATCTGCAGTTGGTCTGCGATGAGACAGCCAACTATCTGGTGATTTGGTCCATCAACCTGGAGATGGAGGAGAAGCACGACCTGATGGCTCATGTGGCACATCAGTGCATCTGCATGCAGTACATCCTCGAGCTGGCCAAGCAGCTGGATGTGGATCCGCGGGCCTGCGTCAGCTCGTTCTTTTCAAAGATCCAGTCCTGTCTGCCTGAGTACCGCCAACAGTTCGAGAGCGAGATCAAGGGATTCAAGGAACGCATCCAAAAACGAGCACAGGAAAAGATTCAGGAGGCCTTGGCCCAGGCAGAGGAAGAGGAACGTCAAGAGCGCATGGGCCCCGGGGGCTTGGACCCAGCCGATGTCTTTGAATCCCTGCCCGACGTAAGTTAGAAATAAGATTTTCTCATACAATTTAACCAAACGAAACATTTTATTGCCTATCGTTTTGCAGGAGCTGAAGGCCTGCTTCGAGTCGCGTGACATAGAGCTGTTGCAAAAGACCATTGCCGCAATGCCAGTGGATGTGGCCAAGCATCATATGAAGCGATGCGTCGATTCGGGTCTATGGGTGCCAAACGCTGCAGATATGCAGCAAGCCGATGAAGCAGAGGGTGCTGCTACAGCTGATGAAGGCGGTGCCAGCGTGGAAAAAACCGACGATGCCAAGTCGGAAAGTGCCAAGGAGGAGCCCATATACACTGGCGTCAGCACCGAAGATGTTGACTGATTGCCTGCGGCGAATCTTTGCCTGTCCCTTCTTCACTATAAGTCTAATCTTAATGTCCTGTCCCCCGCACACACACATATATAATACCCAAATTCATTCATCCAAAGCCTTTCTAAGTTGAGTTTTTGTATATAATTTGAATAAAGTCAACTAAATTCTCAGTACGCTTTGCCTTTGATAGCAGCATCTCCTCTGTCACATTCTATCGTAAGTAATTCCCACAACCAAACCAAATTCTGTTGCAACATGAATCGTCCGGAGCTGGACTACTATGCGGTGCTCGATATACCGAGGACTACCACCAAACAAGACATTACACTGGCCTATCGTCGCCTCGCCATACGTCTCTGTCCGCACAGGGACAAGAAGGATGCGCAAGACTTTGTGCCCCTCGCCCAAGAAGGTCGACTGACGCATCTTTCGCCCATGGGAGAGGCCAAGCAATGGGCCTACGTCAACATGGCCTTTGATGTTCTAGGGAACGATCTGTATCGCGCCATTTACGACCGCTATGGCGAGGCGGGTCTCTTTGAGGGCGTGATGCTGCCCAATGGCTACTTTCCGCCGTATCAATATCACGGCGAGCACATGAAGGTCTACGAAAGCGTCTTTGCCAGCTACTCACCCTATGCCAATGTCATCGATGCCATAACCAATCCTCCCAGTCTGTATGCAACCAAGAAACTGGGCATTGGCGTGCGCAGCAAGGATGCCGATACAGAGAAGATTATTCAGCTGTCCCTCGAGGAAGTGCGCTCGGGCTGTGTGAAGCTGATGCATGTGTGGCGTCAGGAAATTGTCGACGCCAAGGAGTCACGCCTCGAGAAGCGCAAGCATACACTCAAACTGAACATCGCCCCAGGGACTACGGCTGGGACTCGCTTCTGCTTCAAGGAGGAGGGGGATCGTTATCCCGCCTCCATTCCGGGCGACGTTATCTTTATAGCCGCCGACAAGCCGCATCCGGAATTTGAGCGCAGGAATCTCCACGATCTTGTCTATCGCTATAACATTGATTTAGGCCAGGCAATGACAGGTTTCATATTTTTCATCTCCACGCTAGACAAGCGCCAGCTTAAGATCGTCATCACGGATGTGGTCCACCAGGGCTACTGCAAGGTGATTCCATTGGAGGGTCTGCCCAAGTGCCGCAATCTGGATGCTGTGACTGCGATCAAGGAGGCCAATAAGAAAAATGATCAGTTTGGCGACCTCATAATCGAGTTTAATTGTACGTAAACCTCTGCTAGATGAGAACCTACGCCCCAAAATATATTTTTCTTTTCTTGCATTGCAGATATTTTCCCCAAATATTTGACGCCTACAATGAAAAGCATGACGCGTGAGTTCTTCCGCGAGTTCCACAAGTTGGAAGTGGAACTCGAAGAGGAGGAAAAACAGAAGATGCTTTAGAAGGAAATGTTTGCCTGTTAAACCAAGAAATTTCAAGTACCTTTAAAATAAATTATATCTTTCTGTGTTCAAATACTTTTTTTAGATTAAATGTCAATCAAGCTCATAAAATGCATGAATTGGCTAAAAACAACACAATCTATGAAAAGTCATTATAAATATGTACATATGTAGGGTTCAAAGCAGCTTGAAAAACAGGACTATAACTAAAATAGGGTAGATATAAAAATGTCCATAGTTCTAGTCCAACCGGTAATACAACAACAAAACTATAATATTTTGTTGACCTTTAATCAAAAACCTTATTTAAGGTACAATCAAATAAAAGAGAGATCTTAAAATGAATCAGTCATGTAGGAAATTGATTAATTAATCGGATAAAATGATGTGTTCAGGGATGAAAGTTTTATTTAGATATTAATATTAAACTGAATATCAAAGTCGAGGAATACGGTTTCCGATCATGGAAGATTAGCCAGTGGGTATTAAAATACAGTGGGCTTCAAAACATATGAAGCTTAAAGAATTTTAGCTCAGTTCAGATAAAAGATATCGTGGCAACTTTTTTTGTAAGGAAAGATAAAGGATGAAGCTACAAGAAACATTTACAAACTGAATTATTTCCCCGGTTTAACTCAAATTATTCACCTGTTTAAATAGAAGCGTTCAAGTGGGCTAAGTTCGTTTTTTTAGACGGGTTAGACGGCCTATCGATAAATCACACTGCAACACAACATTAACTATGCAGTGGTGGTATATCGGTATGGGTATGGAAAACAGGCAAAAACAGCCAAGGCAAATTGCAAGGTTCGTACAAACCTCACCTCGCGTATGAGGAGAATATACCTTGAAGACAAAATCGACTTTTTCAAGATAGATTGGGCAAATGGGGTGGATTTCACCTTGCATGCGTTGCATTTTCCGAGCAGTGTGGCCTGCTGTCCATACCCTATTTTTCTTCCCATTCGTAACGTGTGTCAATGTATTTGTATATATATTTTGGATCTCGCTTGTGATTAAAATGAGCTATGCATTTGTGGGATAATTAAAAATCAATTGCAAAAACCAGCGCATAACAAGTCCCATTGAAACAGATTAAAATCATTGGAAAACGAAAAGGCAAATTGAGGAACGGAAAGTGACGCGCCGAGAGAGGTTCGGGAGCTGCTCCACTTACGCGATTCGAGTCGATTGGACAACAAAGTGTGCCAACAGCACACGCCCCCCGCCCCCGCGAATCCAACACAACGGAAGTAGAATACGCTCCAGTGGCTGCAGCAGGGCGCACCCAAGAGTAGAACAGTATCGACCATGCATCTGAGTGCAGACATTTCCAGCGCTTTGCAGCAAATCGAGGCCGTCAAAAAGGGCATCGACGAGAGCGATGACCCCAAACTGCAAATGCAGACGGCGGAGAGCCTGAACACCATTCTGGGAATCCTGCAAGACCCCGTCTTCCGCACTATTGTCCATGTGCAGGACTCTCTCTCCGAGCTGAATGCCCAGCTGGGCCAGCATCCGTCCATGCTGCCCAATGATTTCGATATCGATGTGGCTGGCAATCTTGTCCTGAGCTTAAACGGCGGCGAGGTGATGTACGACTTTGACGACCAACAGTCCATATCGGCAACAAGATCCCCAACCTCCCACTCGGCGCCCGGAAGTCCGGACAAGTCCGCGGGCGAGGAGCAACGTCCCCAAAGCCAGAACTCCAAGACGGCGGCTGGAGCGGATCTTTACGCCACGGACTATGCACAGATACAAGCCATCGAGTTGGTTAACGATGGCACGGGCCTGGGATTCGGCATTATTGGAGCGAGGAGTTCGGGTGTGATTGTCAAGACAATACTGCCGGGCGGAGTGGCGGATAGGGACGGGCGCCTTCGCTCTGGAGATCATATCCTTCAAATTGGAGACGTGAACCTGCATGAGATGGTCTCGGAGCAGGTGGCTGCCGTGCTGCGACAGTCGGGAACTCATGTCCGTCTCGTTGTGGCCCGTCCCATCGAGCAAAATGTGCCAACACCTCAGTATGCGTTGGAGCCGGGTTGTGCGGTCGTTCCGACGCGGGTTCTCGTCGATCCTGCCGAGCTGGAGCGCTACCTTATCTCCACCGGATATCCGGAGATCTTTGGCGAGAGTTCCACAGCTTCCACGCCGCAGACTACGACTGAAGATGATCGCTTTGTCTACCGCGGCGAGACTTCAATGCTCATCGATCCTACAATCGATCTGGAGGAGCTGTTGGCCCTGCCCGAAACGGAAAAGCTGCAGGTGGAACTGAAAAAGGACGCCAACGGCTTGGGCATCACCATTGCCGGCTACGTGTGCGAGAAGGAAGAACTGTCGGGCATCTTTGTGAAGAGCGTCTCACCGGGATCAGCGGCTGATCTGAGTGGACGTATTCGAGTCAACGATCGCATTATCGAGGTGGACGGGCAGTCCCTGCAGGGCTACTCCAATCACCAGGCGGTCGAATTGCTCAAGAAATCTGGCCAAGTGGTAAACCTCCGGCTGGAACGCTATCTGCGTGGTCCCAAGTACGAGCAACTGCAACAGGCCATCGCTGCCAACGATAAACTGCCATCCAGTGCCCCAGGCACACCCTCTCGGGCGCAACTGCCCACTCCCGTGGCAACCACATCATCGGCCACCACAACACCCTCCCGCAGCCTGACCAGAGAGCTGGAAGATGAAGCTCTGCCAGCCCCGGAGGCTTTCATGACCACTCCGCCCTCGAATACCACTATGACCACAACCACGCTGAGTACTTTCGGTGCGGGAAAGCAGTTAGTGGCTGTCAGGGATTCTCTGGATGGCTCAACGAAGATTATACCCACTGATGTTGTGCCTTTGACCGAAAAAATCGAGGTAAGTCATCATTAGAACACTCTGATGGGTTATTTATAAATGATTTTCTCTCCAGCAGGCACCGGTGCACGCCAAGAACGGTGCAGTCATCACTCGTCACAAGTACTATACGGATCCGGAGCTCACCGACGAAGCGGAAACGGAAATCATTCGCAAATGGCAAAAGATTGTTGGCTCCGATGTGGAGGTTATTGTGGCACAAATCAAAAAGTTTGCCGTCGGCGGTCTGGGAATCTCGCTGGAGGGAACCGTAGATGTGGAAGGTGGACGGGAAGTGCGACCCCACCATTACATACGTTCCATTCTTCCAGATGGCCCTGTGGGTGTTAATGCTGTGCTCCGTTCCGGCGACGAGCTGCTGGAGGTCAATGGCGAGCGTCTGCTTGGCATGAATCACTTGGAGGTGGTAGCCATATTGAAGGAGCTGCCGCTGGACGTGCGAATGGTGTGCGGACGAAACAAGAACACGTCCCTGCTGCCCTTCTCTGACGACACTCTGAAGAAGCTGAGCAATAACTTTGAGAATCTTTTGCCTGCCACCGATCGCTTGGTGAAGGCCAAATCCGATGGCAGCTTGGCCACCGCTGGGTCTGTGGCCGACGCCGATTCGGTGGCCGCTGCTGCCAACTCGTTCACCAAGCTGAAATCTCGATCTCTGGAGCCACTGACTGGCCTGGCTATGTGGTCATCACAGCCGCAAATCATTGAACTTGTGAAGGGAGACCGCGGTCTGGGGTTCTCTATACTGGACTACCAGGATCCCCTGGACCCCAATGATACCCTGATAGTCATCCGTTCCCTGGTGCCGGGAGGCGTGGCTCAATTGGATGGACGTCTGATTCCAGGCGACCGCTTGCTGTTTGTCAATTCCATTAACCTTGAGAACGCCTCACTGGACCAGGCCGTGCAGGCCCTGAAGGGAGCTTCCAAGGGCGTGGTGCGCATCGGTGTGGCCAAACCGCTGCCCATGACGGACAACTCGCTGAAGGCGTGCAGCACTGCGAGCACCACCAGCGAGGAGACACTGGAGGCACAGATGTCGCCGCCACCGCCAGCCCTGCCCACAGTCGCACCGCCAGCGATGCCAACGGCTGCCAAAGGTGTGGAGCCCGACCTAATACCCGACTGGCGCAATTAAAAACCCGACTGGTCCGCAGTGGGATGTTGGTGGTATGACTGCAATCGATCAAAGAAAGAAAAAATCCCACATTTGGGAGTTTTAACAATCCAAAAAGAAGTCTTGCAGGTATCCGAATATTGTTATTACCGAATCAAAATGTTATACATATTATTAGCACCGAATTGTGTTGACCAGATGCGCCCCGCCCAGGAAATGTGGGGCGCCATCGTCCTCCCCTGCCACAAACAAGCATTCCACCACTTGCAATATTTTCCCTCTAGTATTAGCGAATGAACTTTAACAAGGTATTTCAAGTGTATATGTACTTAATACTAAAATTAAATAATGTACCTTCCCCATGCACTGAGTATATCATTCGATGGGCGGGATCCCAACACCGGCTACTGCACGCGGTTCAGCTGTCGTTCGATCTTCATGTAAGTCCTACGGGACAGCACTCGATCCCTGGCATAGCCGACGAGGTAGCTGAGCACGCCCAGCACAAAGCAGGCGGACTCGAACTTGATGAAGTTGCGCTGCTCGATGAGTGCCACCCGATCGCAGCTCTTGGTCACGATCTCGCCGCTCTTGCAGCGGAGCAGCTCCTTGTAGTGGGTGTGGATGCAGACGCCCAGACTCCGGCTGACTATGTCGAACTCCGAGCAAGGATGGCACTCCTGGACCACTGTGTACGGCTCGTGGCGCCAGCAAGTCGAGTTGTTTTCGATCAAGAACTGCTGCTCTCGCCTGCGCGGACCGTCGGCTGCGTAACGGGATTCAATGATGAGCACCAGTATAGTCAGTATGGTGAGGGCACTAAGACCCAGTACCATATGGTACCGCTGGCAGTTTTCGAGCATAGTTTGTTTTGTTTATTATTATTATTATTCTCTGAAAGTAGGAGTGTACACATTGTTTTGTAAGGTGTGTATGCACTTTCATCTAAGATTAGAGATGACAGCATTTTTATCTTAAAATGTATCTCAGAATCTCAATGTTGCCAACAACGTTGTGAGTGCTGTACAATTTTATTTTGTACTTGGTGTTTTGCAGCATTTATCACGGCAGTTGTACTTGTCCCATCCCTAATCACGCTGTTTACGAACGAGTAAACATGCAAACGAAGGAAGGGACAGAGAGACCAAAACAATTACGGAAGATAACCACAAAAAGAACGTGGAAAATTTGTGAAAATCGTGTGTGGCGCATTGAAAATGGTGCTGCGGTCAGGGATTATAATTCCATTTCAGTTTCGGGACACAAAGAAGCTGCTAATGATTGGCGTGCCCGAGGAGAATCGAAATCATAACATATGGGACCTGAAGAACGTAGGTAAGCATTTCGATAGCGGCCTGCCATGCCCGTGCCCGTGTCTCATGGATGGATGGGGCGGCTGCCACGGCCAGGTCAGGTCGCACTATTGTCCATGTGCAGGACTCTCTCCGAGCTGAATGCCCAGCTGGGCCAGCATCCGTCCATGCTGCCCAATGATTTCGATATCGATGTGGCTGGCAATCTTGTCCTGAGCTTAAACGGCGGCGAGGTGATGTACGACTTTGACGACCAACAGTCCATATCGGCAACAAGATCCCCAACCTCCCACTCGGCGCCCGGAAGTCCGGACAAGTCCGCGGGCGAGGAACAACGTCCCCAAAGCCAGAACTCCAAGACGGCGGCTGGAGCGGATCTTTACGCCACGGACTATGCACAGATACAGGCCATCGAGTTGGTTAACGATGGCACGGGCCTGGGATTCGGCATTATTGGAGCGAGGAGTTCGGGTGTGATTGTCAAGACAATACTGCCGGGCGGAGTGGCGGATAGGGACGGGCGCCTTCGCTCTGGAGATCATATCCTTCAAATTGGAGACGTGAACCTGCATGAGATGGTCTCGGAGCAGGTGGCTGCCGTGCTGCGACAGTCGGGAACTCATGTCCGTCTCGTTGTGGCCCGTCCCATCGAGCAAAATGTGCCAACACCTCAGTATGCGTTGGAGCCGGGTTGTGCGGTCGTTCCGACGCGGGTTCTCGTCGATCCTGCCGAGCTGGAGCGCTACCTTATCTCCACCGGATATCCGGAGATCTTTGGCGAGAGTTCCACAGCTTCCACGCCGCAGACTACGACTGAAGATGATCGCTTTGTCTACCGCGGCGAGACTTCAATGCTCATCGATCCTACAATCGATCTGGAGGAGCTGTTGGCCCTGCCCGAAACGGAAAAGCTGCAGGTGGAACTGAAAAAGGACGCCAACGGCTTGGGCATCACCATTGCCGGCTACGTGTGCGAGAAGGAAGAACTGTCGGGCATCTTTGTGAAGAGCGTCTCACCGGGATCAGCGGCTGATCTGAGTGGACGTATTCGAGTCAACGATCGCATTATCGAGGTGGACGGGCAGTCCCTGCAGGGCTACTCCAATCACCAGGCGGTCGAATTGCTCAAGAAATCTGGCCAAGTGGTAAACCTCCGGCTGGAACGCTATCTGCGTGGTCCCAAGTACGAGCAACTGCAACAGGCCATCGCTGCCAACGATAAACTGCCATCCAGTGCCCCAGGCACACCCTCTCGGGCGCAACTGCCCACTCCCGTGGCAACCACATCATCGGCCACCACAACACCCTCCCGCAGCCTGACCAGAGAGCTGGAAGATGAAGCTCTGCCAGCCCCGGAGGCTTTCATGACCACTCCGCCCTCGAATACCACTATGACCACAACCACGCTGAGTACTTTCGGTGCGGGAAAGCAGTTAGTGGCTGTCAGGGATTCTCTGGATGGCTCAACGAAGATTATACCCACTGATGTTGTGCCTTTGACCGAAAAAATCGAGGTAAGTCATCATTAGAACACTCTGATGGGTTATTTATAAATGATTTTCTCTCCAGCAGGCACCGGTGCACGCCAAGAACGGTGCAGTCATCACTCGTCACAAGTACTATACGGATCCGGAGCTCACCGACGAAGCGGAAACGGAAATCATTCGCAAATGGCAAAAGATTGTTGGCTCCGATGTGGAGGTTATTGTGGCACAAATCAAAAAGTTTGCCGTCGGCGGTCTGGGAATCTCGCTGGAGGGAACCGTAGATGTGGAAGGTGGACGGGAAGTGCGACCCCACCATTACATACGTTCCATTCTTCCAGATGGCCCTGTGGGTGTTAATTCTGTGCTCCGTTCCGGCGACGAGCTGCTGGAGGTCAATGGCGAGCGTCTGCTTGGCATGAATCACTTGGAGGTGGTAGCCATATTGAAGGAGCTGCCGCTGGACGTGCGAATGGTGTGCGGACGAAACAAGAACACGTCCCTGCTGCCCTTCTCTGACGACACTCTGAAGAAGCTGAGCAATAACTTTGAGAATCTTTTGCCTGCCACCGATCGCTTGGTGAAGGCCAAATCCGATGGCAGCTTGGCCACCGCTGGGTCTGTGGCCGACGCCGATTCGGTGGCCGCTGCTGCCAACTCGTTCACCAAGCTGAAATCTCGATCTCTGGAGCCACTGACTGGCCTGGCTATGTGGTCATCACAGCCGCAAATCATTGAACTTGTGAAGGGAGACCGCGGTCTGGGGTTCTCTATACTGGACTACCAGGATCCCCTGGACCCCAATGATACCCTGATAGTCATCCGTTCCCTGGTGCCGGGAGGCGTGGCTCAATTGGTTGGACGTCTGATTCCAGGCGACCGCTTGCTGTTTGTCAATTCCATTAACCTTGAGAACGCCTCACTGGACCAGGCCGTGCAGGCCCTGAAGGGAGCTTCCAAGGGCGTGGTGCGCATCGGTGTGGCCAAACCGCTGCCCATGACGGACAACTCGCTGAAGGCGTGCAGCACTGCGAGCACCACCAGCGAGGAGACACTGGAGGCACAGATGTCGCCGCCACCGCCAGCCCTGCCCACAGTCGCACCGCCAGCGATGCCAACGGCTGCCAAAGGTGTGGAGCCCGACCTAATACCCGACTGGCGCAATTGAAAACCCGACTGGTCCGCAGTGGGATGTTGGTGGTATGACTGCAATCGATCAAAGAAAGAAAAAATCCCACATTTGGGAGTTTTAACAATCCAAAAAGAAGTCTTGCAGGTATCCGAATATTGTTATTACCGAATCAAAATGTTATACATATTATTAGCACCGAATTGTGTTGACCAGATGCGCCCCGCCCAGGAAATGTGGGGTGCCATCGTCCTCCCCTGCCACAAACAAGCATTCCACCACTTGCAATATTTTCCCTCTAGTATTAGCGAATGAACTTTAACAAGGTATTTCAAGTGTATATGTACTTAATACTAAAATTAAATAATGTACCTTCCCCATGCACTGAGTATATCATTCGATGGGCGGGATCCCAACACCGGCTACTGCACGCGGTTCAGCTGTCGTTCGATCTTCATGTAAGTCCTTCGGGACAGCACTCGATCCCTGGCATAGCCGACGAGGTAGCTGAGCACGCCCAGCACAAAGCAGGCGGACTCGAACTTGATGAAGTTGCGCTGCTCGATGAGTGCCACCCGATCGCAGCTCTTGGTCACGATCTCGCCGCTCTTGCAGCGGAGCAGCTCCTTGTAGTGGGTGTGGATGCAGACGCCCAGACTCCGGCTGACTATGTCGAACTCCGAGCAAGGATGGCACTCCTGGACCACTGTGTACGGCTCGTGGCGCCAGCAAGTCGAGTTGTTTTCGATCAAGAACTGCTGCTCTCGCCTGCGCGGACCGTCGGCTGCGTAACGGGATTCAATGATGAGCACCAGTATAGTCAGTATGGTGAGGGCGCTAAGACCCAGTACCATATGGTACCGCTGGCAGTTTTCGAGCATAGTTTGTTTTGTTTGTTTTGTTTATTATTATTATTATTCTCTGAAAGTAGGAGTGTACACATTGTTTTGTAAGGTGTGTATGCACTTTCATCTAAGATTAGAGATGACAGCATATTTATCTTAAAATGTATCTCAGAATCTCAATGTTGCCAACAACGTTGTGAGTGCTGTACAATTTTATTTTGTACTTGGTGTTTTGCAGCATTTATCACGGCAGTTGTACTTGTCCCATCCCTAATCACGCTGTTTACGAACGAGTAAACATGCAAACGAAGGAAGGGACAGAGAGACCAAAACAATTACGGAAGATAACCACAAAAAGAACGTGGAAAATTTGTGAAAATCGTGTGTGGCGCATTGAAAATGGTGCTGCGGTCAGGGATTATAATTCCATTTCAGTTTCGGGACACAAAGAAGCTGCTAATGATTGGCGTGCCCGAGGAGAATCGAAATCTTAACATATGGGACCTGAAGAACGTGGGTAAGCATTTCGATAGCTGCCTGCCGTGCCCGTGCCTTATGGATGGATGGGGCGGGCGGCCACGGCCAGGTCAGGTCGTAAAACTTAATTGCCCTCCGAGTATGTGTGTATAGCAGAGTGGCGACTGCTGGCGGCGACACCCAAAGGCTGTGGAAGAGCCCCGGAGTGTTTGTGCAAATAATATTTGTTGCATTTTCCAGTGCGTGCCGCCTTCGGAATATACAATTTCGAGTTTCGCAACAAGAAAATTGGCTTTAACATACCCGACGAGCTGCTGCTGCACTATCTGGCCCAAAGGCATGACCTTACCAATTTCGTTATAGAAATCAGTCAAGGTAAATACTCATGTATAGCGTATAGCAGCTAAGCCGCGTTTCAATTAGCGTTTAAGCGAGTCCCTCGGAGTCAAGAAACCCCAAAAACATATATATATATATAGATCAGATCTGTTGTGTATATAGACGCGGCAGCCGTAAACGTGCTTTTGCTTGTAAGTCTATGGAAATTTGCCATTTGTAATAAAACCCAAATTGTAAAATGCTTCCCTTTGCAGCCCTCGACGATGGTCATGCCAAGGAGATGCTGTCTTATGAGCCCTCATGCTCGATGGCTGTCTTGAAGCAGCAACAGCAACAGCAGCAGCAGCAACATCATCCTCTTCAGCACCATGTACCACTGCCTCAGCGTTCGAGTGAGAGTGGCTCCCATCACACGCACGACTACGTGCCCACCTCGCAGCCCAATTCGCCAGCTCTGGGCGTGTGCCATGAGCCAGTGGATTCGCCACTGGAGCAGCAGGCCAACACCTCCAGCTCAGATCATGCGGATAGCTCCCAGAAGCTGCGTCTCACACAAACTTATGCTGAGCGAACGCCCGAATCGTTGACACAGTCCATCGACCCGATGGACATTATACCCAAAGCGGAGTCCGAGTTGGAGGTGGATCGGTTAGCAAGGACATCTCGGTTTCTGGCGCGGCAAGAGCAGCATCACCAGCAGCAGCAACAGCATCAGCATCAGCAGCAGCAGGCAGCCGCACTGCAGCACTCGTTGCCCGCCCAGCAAATCTTTTCGAACTACACGCACAGTTTGCCGCCAATGAATGCGCCGAATCCCTCACAGCAGTCGCCCTACACTCCGGGGCTGATGAGTCGCTTTAGAAGTGAGGACAGCATCTCCCATTGTTCTTTAATAAATGCCTAATCGAACTCCTTTTCATTTAAAGAACGTGGCGAGCGCATGTCTAAGGATCAAAAAGAGCTGTATGTGAAATTCTTCGAGGACAATCCTTGCATGCTGTCGAATCATCGCCGGCATGATGGCCTCACCGAGCCGCTGTGGGCGAAATTGGCACACATGTTGAATAGTGTGCCGCAGGGCGCTGTGAAGAATGTGGAGGACTGGAAGCAGACCTTCGATGCTTGGCGCTATCGCATCTTCATGTACACACGCTACAACTCCAAGCTGAGCATGTCGGAGACAAGTGATCCGAAGAACTTTAAGCCGCTCACTGCCACCGATCAGAAGGCCTATGCCATGTGGACAAGTCACAAGCACATAGCACCGCAGGACTATGAGAAAATGGATCTGTTTGTGCCTTTGGACGAGGCCACAACAGCCACCAACAGCTACGATTATTGATTTGGGATCTATATGCAATATACAAAACTGTTAATGTGTACTTTAACTAATGCTAAGCGCAAAATACAATATGTTTAAGCCAAAACTAAAAAAATCAACAAAGCAAATCGCTTGACATCTTCATTATCTAGTTGTTAGATTCACTGTGCATTGTACAACTGTTTTAATGATATTATTTCCTCTTGCAGTGTACGATGTGGCCTTGGATAACTACGTCTTAAATCGCCAGTGCCGTTGCGCGGAGCAGAAAATACTGAACGAATCGCCCACACCCGAGGAACCCACGAACCTATGCCAGCCCAGCAGCGTATTGGAAACGACGCCTACTCCCATTTTGGCTATGCCGCCTTGCGAAGACGAGGAGCACGAGGAGAGCATGAAGTACCGCATCGATAAGACCAGCAGCAGTGGAGCGGCCTCGGCGGATCTGGGGATGCATGCCTATGAGGCGTGCAGCCCGAAGATGGACTACGATACACAAGACGAGCTGCCGGATTCACCACATTCACAGCAGCTGCCACCACCGCCATTGCCTTTGCCAGCGGCCTTGCCGTTGCCACCACCCCCAACATCCCACCATCATCAGTTGCAGCAGCAGCAGCAGCAGCAGCACGAGGAAGAGCAGCAACAACTGCTTCAGGAGCGCATCCAGCACGAGTACATGATCCAACAGCAGCAACAGCACCAGCACTTGCAGCAGCAGCAACAGCATTTGGCTCTCCTGCAGCAGCAGCAGCAAGAGGAACAGCAACAGCAGCAGGCAGCCACTGGAGCGCACGCATTGCCCGGCCAACAACAGGTCTTGAGCATGGCCATGGGCACGACTGCCACCAATAACATTCGACGTAAGAATATATTCGATTCTATCTATGTGGCTCTAATGGTTTTCACCCCACAGAACGCAAGGAACGCATGTCTAAGCGACAGAAAGAGCTCTACGTGCACTTTCTGCAGCAGCATCAGTTCATCAATGATCATCGCCGCAACGATCCTGTGCTGGATCCCTACTGGCTGAAGTTGGCCAATCTGTTGAATGCAGTGCCCCAGGGCGCTGTCAAGCATGTGACCGAGTGGAAGCAGACCTTCGACAACTGGCGCTACCGCATCTTTCTCTACGCACGTTACAACTCCAAGCTGCAGGACGAGGAGGCCCAGAATCCGCGCAACTTCAAGCCCCTGACACGCACCGATAAGCAGGCCTACATCATGTGGATACGCAACCCGGATACGGCGCCCCCCGATCTGGACAAAATGCGGAATGTCTTCTGCAATCTGGAGGAGACCACCGCGCAGCAGGACTAGCGGCGCCTGGGATCGAACTCCATAAATTGCCATTGTCGTAGTTTATAAATATGGAACATATATATATATTTTTTTTTTCGTCTATCTTGTCTTTCCTGGTTTCAATCGTCGTTAACTGTGTATTTGTATATGTTTTTCCTGTTTCGGGGAATTCATTTTCCTTTAATTTGTCATTGTTATGCTTATATGAATATTAAAAATGTGTTTTTTTTGAATGAAGCTCTAATTATAGTCGAAGTGTCATCGGAAATGTGCAGAAGATTATTTTTAGAATCAGGTGGGAAGTTCATTTGCCCGATGTTTTGCATATGATTACCACAATGAAATGAACCTTAATGCTGAACAGGTTAAGAAATTATTAAATGAAACGTCTCGTTGTTCTCGGATTTATTCAACTCAAAACGAGACAGACGGAAAAAGGCTTACATCATGCGCTGGTAAGGATATCGAATCTGATAAGTTGCCCCCCAACTTATGGTGGCCTTGATGGATTGACATATGTTTGCTCTGGGGCCAAACTCCTTTCAGAACCAGCTCCAGTTGCTTTGTGCTACCACTCCACATCTCTACGTGTCTCTCCATATGGTCTAGACACCCACACACCCGCCTCGTACTCGTATCGTATCGCATGTGTTGATTAATTTGTTGCCAGCGGCAGTACAGCATCCAATATATGTGTGGCTTGTACTTGTCGCTAATCCCTCGACCATTAATTATACGTTCAATCATATCCGATACGCTTCATGCCGCGACACACACTCGACAGCCGGTTGACGGCTTTGGGGGGATCAATACGGGTATAAGCCGCAAGTATCATTGGCAAAATCCCGATAATAATTCCTTCTTTTGGTTTCTGCAAATTAGTTCCACTGTTTGTTGAACCTGAAATCGATTCTGAGACAGTGATGTGAACCTGAAATTGTGTCTGTCTGCTGAACCTGTAGCTGTATCTGAAAAGGGAGCTCACCAATCGATTAACATATTGTTAATTAAAAGAAATTACTTTGGGTTTGGCTTTGACTGTAGCTGTGGCTGTGGCTGTGACTGTGGCTTTCAATGTGGGCTTTTGTCTTGTGCCGTCGATTATATTTTATTCTTCTGATTAAATTGCAATTTATCATAAATTACTGCGCTTAATTGTGTGCAAATGCAGTTGGAAATCTCGTTTTAATAATAACAGAAATATATGTGTTACATAAACAACTAATTTAAACGAGCGTATCAGCTTTGGAGAGATATTGCAAATGACTCGTAAACGTACTCCGCACTGCTCCCCTCCCCATACTTTGTCTGTTATCTGCTGCGTTTCCAATAACCCCATTCCTCATAAAGATAAATGCGAACCGAAGGCATTGGGTTAGGTTATTAGCTGTGACTTTTTGCGGCTGTTCGCTTGGTTTGTTCTGACTGTTCTGCTCTTGGGTTCTGTCTGCTCTGGGCTCTAGGCTCTCGACTCTCGACTCTAGACTCTGGCATACTCTGTTGCAGTCAGTCAGGCGTACAATATCAATATTTCAGTGTTTGGAATTTGCATATTCGTAGGCCGTCAAAGGCGACAACGACAACGCCAGTGTGGTAGGTGGCTTTCATTGGATATCTGTATGAATTATGACAGGTGGGGGAAAACAATGCGAATCTTAGTAGCTGTTGAACGACTGCCGTTCAACTCGCCGCAACTCTGTAACTGTAACGGTAACCGCATATAGGGTACAGGGTTGCCGAGTACATTCAGTGTAGAACTGAAACCAGAAAAATGAGAAACGATCTTCAGAACTGGGTGGAGTTTGATTCCAATACAGATACGAGTAGATCCCAACCCAGTTTCAATCCAATCTCCCGCTCCAAGTCAGAGCCATACTACCCGTAAAATTACCATATATTAACCGCTCACTTTCAATACCAATTTATCAAAATTATCAAATCCGATTAAGTCGCTTGCTTGGCCAAAAATTCTCCCACACTCTCACCCAAAAAATAAAGACCAGCAGCAAATCACAGTTTAGCCCAAAAAAAGACTGAAAACTTCACCAGATCAATCATAAAGACATACAAAAATGCTGTAAAAACGATAAAAACACCATAAAAGCGATAATAATCTTTTGTAAGACCTGTTTTGCCCAGCAATGATCGGAGCAGAGCCAGAGCCAGAGTTAGGAGCCCCAGCCCCAGCCCAAGTCCCACCACTCCATACCATACCTCTAAGCAGCTGACCAGACCAAAGGCAACTTGTCAAACCCAAGTGATCTTAACAGACATATCTGTTGATTTACTATTCGAATGAAAGATACACACACATAATGGCAAAAACTTGTGTATGCTAATCAATGTTCCAGTTGATTGATATGGCTTTTTAATTACGTTTACAATTTAATTGACCTGAACTATCGCGCCTGACCAAAAGAATCACTTAACTCAATTTTGTATTTTAATGAGGAAACAAATCCTCGCCCAAAGCCAAAGATCTCTCTGCATTTGCATTAAACATCGCTCTGAACTCATAAAATAAAATTAAATAAATGCAAAAACACAAATATTTTGCATTAATATTAGGCAGTCGATAATGAGTGTTGGTCGAGCACTGGACTGCAAGTCGGACATGCGGCAAGCCGGGGCTCATTAACGTGGCCAAGCAATAAAATCAGTTGAATCGGTTGACATCCAATCAAATTGATGGGGACAACCACTCCACTCTATCCATCCATGCTCACGCGGGAGTGTGTGTGTGTGTGTGGGGGTAGGCTGCTTTGAAATGTTTAATGAAAGAAATTAAAATATGTCAGCCTTCAGTTCATGCGTAAAGACCTGACTATATCCGATTTCAATGTCGCTCACGTAATCGGTCTCTGTAATGTGAGTCAAGTGCGGTTGGAGTACGGGTATAGGTACGGGTACGGGTACGGGCACGACTGCGAGTACAAGTGAGTCTCTGTGTGAGCGTTATCAGTAAATGATTTGTGAAAAGAGGTCAGGGATGCCCACCCACCCCTACCATACCCAATGAGGGGACTAAAAAGAGCTAAGAGGTTTTTCCCTCATAATCATGGGAGGTGGTGCTACCCACTAGCAAAAGTCTGTAAATTCGCAAATATCTAGAGTGGCAAACCTTGACAAAGTTTTAAACGGTTTCGTTCCCCATTCTTGCAAAGTTACGTCATAAATATATTTAAAATTATCTTTTGATATTTATTAAAATATATATTTGAGTATTTATTTATACACTTTTCTCATTGAACCACAAATATTTCGTATATATATTTATCTGTTTTTTTTGAACATTTGAACAGGGAATCCTGCTGTGCCACTTCATAAATATCTTTGAAATTATCATTAATTTTAAATTACATATTTCTGAGTATTAATTTATAATCGTTACTCATCTAACAGCATTTATATGGTTTTAATATAAACAAAAAATCAATTAAATTATTTGTTCAAAATTTAGCTTCAGCCTAGCAGCATGTTGAGCAGCAGCAGCCGGAAGCAGCCCTAGCAACCATGTTGCTGGTGGAAAACAAGCTTTCTGGCAACATTTGTAAGCAAAACAAAAAGTGAACGAGCAGGAACGTAGCGAGCTGCAGCAAGGGCTGCGGCACTACTTATATATTTGGAACTAAGTCAGTATATGTATGTATAACTAATATTATGAATTATAGAATATTTTCTGTTTCCATTTCCTTACATATGTACATCTATCTCTTTTTCTCTATTCTCACACCAACTGTTATATCTCACTAGCCTTCGCAAGGGGGCACACCCTGCACGATTAAGAGTGAGATGGAGAGATAGAGAGAATGAGACGGCAGGTGGAATTTCCGTCTGGCTATAATATTGATCAGATCTAAGCTGTATTCGACAATCTGGTAGAATCTACGATTCTACGTTTTTCGTATTCCCGTATCTTCAAAATTGTGGATGCCACAGAGTTTCACCCTTTATGAGGGTGGAAGGGGCGTGGGAACCATCTTGATTCAGTGTGATAGCACACGAGTCTGCACACAAAAATTTGGTTGCTTCAGCTCTTATAGTCCCTGACGTACAGACAGACGTACAACTATATATATAATATATCTACTCGGCTATTGATGCTGATCGCGAATATATATACTTTATGGGTTCGGAAACGCTTCCTTCTGGGATTCACACACACCCACTTTCACAACAAATCCAATATACCCCAAAACTCTTCGCTTTTAGGGTATAAAAACAGCCGAAGCTCCTCTTGGGGTCGAGTTGGAGTTCGGACATGGGGCTCGGGCTGGGGGTTCGGGCTGTTGTTCGGTCTTTGGGTTCGGCTTGGTTGGGGTTCGCGAAACCAGCTGATGACCAGATGGAGGCGCCGACGAAAATGAAAACCGGGAGACGGAGACTTTGTGCTGATGCTACCACATTCGCTGCTTTCAGTGCGGCCCGGGTCTTCCAACTGTTTTGTCACGCCTTAGCGCTAACTCCGGTTCAAAGATACTCGTACTTGCAACAGAAGCAGCTTGTCCATAGCAGGAGATACTACTCATACACCACCCAGCATCTGTAACCAGCAAAGTATGTGCCGTGTCGATGGATGTTGCAAAAATTAGGCAAAGGCTCAAACAAACCCGTGTTAATCATTCGCAATTGTGAGGTTCTCGCGATGTTTTTTTTTTATGTTATTTAGCATATACGACATTCGAAAAACGAATAAAAAAGGAGTACGAAATAAGAAACAAGAAACAAAAGACTTAGGCAACAAACTTGCGTGCAGCAATGCAGACAATTTATAGCCTACAGGCTCCAAATCCAAAACTTCGACTCCGACATGGACTACGCCTCCGAGTGGGGCTGGGGCTGGGGCTGAGGCTGGGGCTGAGGCTGGAGCTGCCGCGCAGGCGTGTTAAATTTATGCAAATAAATAAATCAATTCCACAAAAGATAAATAAAATTGAAGGCGTTTTTCCAGCCTTTTTTGCACGCACTGCAACAAAACATTTGTCAAAAATAACCAAAAAACGAATCTGAAGGAAAAATCAGTTTTCTAGAAACGCCATAAATAAAACCTCGCCCATGAATCTTTCACTGGCCAAAAATATTTCACTTCAAAGCAACAAAAAGGAAGGGAAAACCTGACTGAAAATATAAAATAAAAATTCGCTAATGCTCATTGCCTTTTTA